CCTAGTATATACTGTGCTTAGGAATGTTGAGCAGACCACTGTAACTTGTGTGTGTGTGTGTGTGTGTGTGTTATACGTGTGTGTGTGTGTTATACATGCATGTGTGTGCATGAGTGTTGTGTGTGTGTGGGGGGGGGGCTGTGGGTGCTGGAAAGTGTACTGCAGCCAGACCACAGAGGGTCTAGAATGCCATATTAAGAACTCACTTAGGAGAGAGAGCACAGGTTTGTCCTCTGGCTTCTAGCTTTGAGACTTTGGGCAAATTAGCTAATCTTTCTGTCGCAAAGTTTTCATATTTGGTAAAATGGGCATTCCAACACCTACTCTGAACAGTTGTGAAGATAGTCATAATGTTTGCAAATGATCTGGCCTTTAGTGGCTACTCAATAATGGGAACCATTGGTGGTTTGGCTAAGAGAAGTGGCTGAATGGATTTGGGTTTTCAAGAGATGGTTATGGAGGCCATGGTTAGAAGAATGGATGGGGTGGGACAGGTCAGGTGGAGTGAGGTGTAGTGATTGACATGGGCTCTGGGAGGCCATGAAGAGGCTGGAGCAACAGTCTAGGCAAGAGCTGAGTACCAAAACTAACTCCATGGGACGGAATAGACAGGAGCAATAACTATTTAGGTGGTGAAATAAGCTTGCTGATAACTGGATGTAGGAGGTAAGGGAAAGAGATTTTTCTAGTAGGGCAGTTCTATTCCCCTGGATCTGTGATTCAGGAGGAAGGAGACTGAAGGAGGGGATTTGGTGGAGGGGAGGAAGAGGGTATATTGGGAGACCAGACCCTCTTAGGAAGCCCACTGTTACAGCAAACAAGAATCCTCATCGTTCTGTGAGTGTGGGAGACGGGACAAGCAGGCTGCACGACCTGAACCACGTCAATCTTAGAATCACCAGAACAAGCCTTGCATGGGTGACTTCCCCCAAAGAGGCATTGCTAAAGGACTTCTTTTCTGACTCGTGTTCCATACAGTTGACTTTTCCTTTTAAGGCACTCCTCAGCACACGCCTAGAGATAATCTCTGGGACTCTCCCAAGGCCGAATACATTCATTCCAACCCATCCATTTAACCTCCTCTCCCTCATTTCCCCACCGAACCTACTCAGAGTCTTCAGGTCTAAGCCTGAATAGTTTTCAAGGATAGTTGCTTTCAGACTGTACTTGCAGGTCATCTTTGAGGTCATTTCCTGACACTTTACCCAGAAGTGTCAGGTGGCTTCCCCCAGGTGGGAAGACATGACGACAATGGGAAAACAAAATTCCTTGGTCTGGCTTCTCTTTATGAAAAGGTAAGAATCGCTACCCTTTAGGTTTAAGACTTGAGGGACAATCTAAGACTTGTCTCTACCACAGGAGGGAAGCAGGCTATTTAACTGGGATGATTTCAGAGCTTACTTTAGAAAATTGACTTCTCACTCCCCAACATCCCTCCTTCTAGTTGGTGGGGCCTGGACATGCTTTACACCTTCCCTAAAGGAATTTTCCTGGACTTTTTACTCCATAGTCACAGAAGGGACTAACTTCAAATATTCAAATATTACTCTCCCAGGGGACATAAGACTGAACTTAACATATTACCCTCCTCTCTGCTTCCATGGCACTGCATACATGCTCTAGTTCTGCACGCACTTGCTCAGGTCAGTGTTTTCTACACTGTGCAGCGTCCCAACTTCATAGTTTTTACCATATCCACCAACCATTTGTCCTTTTATTAACTTACTGTTCTTAAAAAAAGAAACAAGTGTTTAAAATTTAAACAAGGTACTTAAAAATTTTCATATACTTCTGTGAACATGAAACTAGTATTGCTTGTAAGATATGAGAGGTTATCAAACAACACAAGAAAAACATACAATATTATTCAATTTAGAGATGGGCAGTAGCTTGTGCGAAGCTCTGAGCCTGATGCCTTGTTCTCTCTTCCTTATAGAGAGAGATTAACAAGTGTTAGAGAGGTGTTAAAGACAGACTAGCACCAAACTAAGACCTTCTTGATATCATCAGGGGGATTGTGAAACACTGAAAAGGGAATAACTTTCCAAGTACAGTTCTGTGTTATTAATTCCTGAATTTCTACACCACCTAAGTCAGGGTGGGTGCCACCAGGGTCTTCCTCCCACTTTAGGGAGCACCACCTCTGCTGTAGTTGGCCATTTATTTTTTAAATCCCCATTCAACTGTGACTTTCTTGAGGGCAGCAGCTTATTGTTGGTGCCTTCAGCACCGCACACAATGCTTAGACACAGTTGGTAGTTCATAAAGGGACAAAGTGATAGAAAATGAAAGCCTTCTTCAGGTGCAAAAGACTTACAGCAAATTCTTTACTGAGGGGCAGGTGGGGAAGCAAATGCTGGATGGCCTCGGAGTTAAAAGAGTCAAGTGAAGACAGCCAAGGAGACGGAGGCTGCAGCCATCCAGGATCAAATACACTGGCACAGCGATGCTGCCTGATGTGCAAAAGACTTACAGCAAATTCTTTACTGAGGGGCAGGTGGGGAAGCAAATGCTGGATGGCCTTGGAGTTAAAAAAGAGTCAAGTGAAGACAGCCAAGGAGACGGAGGCTGCAGCCATCCAGGATCAAATACACTGGCACAGCGATGCTGCCTGATGTAGGCTTTGTTGAAGCATCGTGTAGTGCCAAGAACTTAGGTCCTAGAATCAGACAATTCTAAGGTCAATCCAGACTCTTTACTAATTGCATGGACTTGGCTATATCATTTTTCTCTTGGGGCCTTAATTACCTTGCTGTAAAGTGGTAATAATACCTAGATGAGGTAAATGATCAGGAATAAGAATTAGAAAGGCACAAGGAAAATGACTCTCGGCTAAACCTTGTGGAAAGCCGACTTACGGCTGAGTGAGCTAGCTTATGTCTACTGAGTGTGGGCTGTACTTTATATATCTACATCTATATGTAAAGAATGGTTTCAGAAAATTTTGTGACTCTTTGGTTTAATTGTGAATCACCAGTCCCCCATTTTAGAGTGTGCATCTGTGTCTGTGGCAGAAGGAAAACTTTGGGCACAAAGTGTGTATGTACTTGTAAAAAAGTGTCTGATCAAAGGTTCAGATCCCTGTACAGGCCAGTTGCCAAAAAAAAAAAAAAAAAGTATTTGGACTGTGTATGTAGGAAGTTTTGTTTTTTA